ACTTTGGATGGCCTGGCCTTACTCAGATCCTCAGGGGACTACGTAGTGATTTTCTCACTGCAGCTTTACATAAACTCCATACTCCATCTTTTCCCACTACTGATAACTTCAATAGCATGAAGTCTGATGAATGTTATGGCCCAAGTGCAAGCCAATACAACTGTCTACTACAGTCTTTTTTACTCTGAGCCCTACTCATAATGAACCAACTTCCATGTCACATAGTGTTTGGGTCAGAACAGTATTCCTAAAAGTAATGTTGCCTCCACAATTTTCTTTGTGATAGAGGAAACTTTTTTTTTTTTCTTCTTGGAAGATAAATCTTACCAGGCACACACTGTTGACATTGATACGTACTGTTGAGTCAGTTGTGACTCATAGCTACCCTATATAGGTTTTCCAAAGAGCCACTGGTGAGTATCAACTGCTGACCTTGCAGTTCAAAGTGTATTTCCTACAGCAACACACCAGGACTCATTCTTACATGTACTATGGTGGCTGTATGCCGTGGAGTTGGTTCCGACTCATGGCGACCCTGTACAGGGTTTCCGAGCCTGTAAATCTTTACAGGAGCAGAAAGCCTCATCTTTCTCCCGCAGAACAGCTGGTAGTTTCGAACTGCTGACCTTGCGGTTTGCAGCCCAATTCGTAACCACTATGCTACATGTACTACAGGGCATGTGAAATTTTAAGTGAAATGGCAGGTTCCCTGAATCTGTGTAGGGTTTACTTTGCATTCCCTGAAGTTGATGTGTCTTACCATTACCTCCAATATGCTAGCTGCCTCTGCCCTGTATTAATTTATCAGAAAAATGACAACAGTGTTTGGTGTGAGGCCCAGATGGCTTCAACATTTTCAGAATACATCATGACAGAAGCAGAAGAGTTAACATAGTCCAAAAGAAACAGTAAATAGCTAACATTACCCATTCTACTTGAATATACACTCCTCTCTTCTGGTCAAAATAGAATATATTTGTCAGGTAATTGACAGAACAATGTTATGTCTTATTTACTCTCACTTCCATCTAGTCAATTCAACTTTATATAAATAAGGTTCTCTTAGTGGTCATCTTTATTATAGCTGAGAGCTTCGTATTTCTCCCATGGAGTGGCTGGAGGGTTTGAACTACCTGCCTTATAGTTAGCAGGCTAATGCTTATCCTACAATACCACCAGGGCTCCTTAATTTATACTTACTGTTGTTTCAGGACCATCACATCAGTTCTGATCATAGCGACCCATGTAGGACTGTTGAGGGGCAAATTGTGGGTTTTAACTACCAACCTTGTGGTTAGCAGTCCAGTGATTATCCTACAGTGCCAACCAGACAGACCTCCGACACTTACTTGTTCTAGTAATGATAAACATGTGTGATATAGCAACTGTTCACAGTGAGCATAGGATCATGTTTATAACTAGCAATTTTTTTCAGTTTATTAATATGAAAATATAATAATGAATTCTGGTGCCCATTACATAACATAATTGAGGTAATCAATTTCATTGAATTAAACAAATATAAAGTGTTGAATCAGCAAATGCTGTGTTACCTATATTTTTGCAAACAAACTATTCTTAAAAATTTAACATCATCAATAATGATGTTGTTTAGCACCATGGAGTTGGCTCTGACTCACAGTCAACCCTGTATAGGCTTTCAAAGGTGGTACTTCTTTGTGGGAGCAGAAAGCTTCATCTTTCACCTGCTGAGTAGCTAGCAGGTGGGCTTGAATCACTGACCTGGTGATTCATAGTCCAGTACTGATCATACAGAGCTACTGTGCCCCCATCAATAATTATATGGCACTATGGGATAATGCACTGGACCACAAGGTCGGCCCTTCCAATTCACCAGCTATTCCTCAGAAACACTATACAGGTTAACCTAATGAATATGTAAAATTTACCACTCTATATTTCTGTTTTACATCAAATGCCATCAAATGTAAATGTAATTACTAGATAACAATGAACTCTACATATCTGCTTTATGTATTTACATTACTGGTGCCAAGACTCCATTAGTACAGCCCAGAATGGTCATTCCTGTTATGTTTCAGCAATGCATTTGTAAAATGTTGATTGCGATGTAAGCCTCATAATACAATAAGCACATTTAAGATAACTTTTTAAAGTAGATTTTCACTTCAACACCACTGCAGGAGATACTTGTATTCATGATTTTTAAAAATGTTTATACTCAATCTACTGCCTCAGTGTAGTTCTATCGAAAATCAAAATGAATTAACACACTGAAATTTTGCCTGACTACATTAATGCAATTTCAGGTTAGCAAGAAGGAGCCCTGGTAGTGTTGTGAATTATGAGCTAGGCTGCTAACAGCAAGGTCTGTAGCTCGAATCTACCAGGATCTACGCAGGAGAAAGATTCATCTTTCTTCTCCTGTACAGACTCACAACCCACTCCACGCACTCTGGTAGCATAGTGGTTACGAACCGGGCTGCGAACCACAAGGTCAGCAGTTCGAAACTACCAGCTGCTCTGCGAGAGAAAGATGAGGCATTCTGCTCCCGTAAAGATTTACAGCCTTGGAAACCCTGTACAGGTTCGCTATGAGTCGGAACCGACTCCACGGCACATAACAACAACAACCACGCACATAACCATTACCTCCACCATAACACCCCAGAAGATTTTACTAAGAACTGTTTTTATAAAACTGTCCTTGTCTCTAATTTAGAATTTTGTGTTAAAGGAACAGAGTACACTTTTACGAAATGTTCCTACTGAGGGAAACTGCAGTCCTGGTGTGGTGCTCTAGGATGAGACCCGGTCAGCTAATAAAAATCTGTAGTTCGAACCCACTAACCTTGCTTTGAAAACTATACAGGGCTAAAACAAGAAGAAAAATATGATGTCACTTAACAACAACAGCAGGGGTAAGAGGGAGTAACAGCTTATTAAGCACTGAGTTTTTGTAAGGGAAATGTTTGGAAGCAGATAGTAGTGTTTGTTGCATGACATGAAAAATGTAATTGATGTCACTGAATTCACTGTAAAAGTGCCACTGTAAAAAATTTGAGATGCCACATGTTTTGTTTTATATATACTTATCACATTCCAAAATTAGGAAAAAACTTAAAAGTTATTTTTGGCCCTAGGGGTGATATTTAATAAGCTTTATATAATCATTACTAGCATTTTATAAAAGTGGTATTCAGATTTTGGTAATGTTACTGCAGTTATTTAAAATGTTGGGTGAAAGGTGTAGACAAATTCTGTAAATAATTTTTCAATTAAAAATCATTTTTTAAGTTTAAAATGAAATGATTCAAAAAATTTAATGCATTGTTTTTGTACCATATTAACATAGCATACAAGTAAAATCAAACCTTAAAGTTGTGATTTATTTTTTATTATTGTTATTTATTAAAGTTATTCATTATTATCTATGATAATAAATTTATTATTATTTTCATGGAAGCAAGAACATTCTACTCAGAAAATGTTTCTTGACCTTCTGTATCAAGCATTCTAAATATACAAAAGGAGAATTAAGGGAATTATAGAAAATTCTCTATGCCATATATTTTTACTGCTTTACTGGTGAAACAAGGTTTAAGTAATCTCACAAAATGTTCCTAATAATATAATTTTTACTATTAATATAAAGTCTTTTTCATTAATGATACATTTCATTTGATAAGAAACACAATGGTTAAGATATTTCATCATAACATAATGTACAGCATTTTCCTTTAAGAGATAAATATCGATTATTCCCAATAAGAACTTAATGCTCTTCAAAGTATTTGTTGAAATTTTAGCATATAAATCATGCTGTAGTTATGTTCCGTCCACTCAGTTCTGACTCATGGCAATCCTGCAAAGGGTTTCCAAGGAGTGGCTGGTGAGTTTCAACCACTGACCCTGTGGTTCACACCAACCATGCAATCCAGTGCATTATCCTGCAGTGCCACGCCAGGACTCCATACATACTGCATATTTATTGGGATCATGAGTTACATGCATACAACTTATTGAATCACATTTGTTAATGCTGGCTTTGACAATAAAAGATGGAATTGTGAGTTTTTTCAATGTTAAATGCCCTGGTGACACTAGTTTATGTATTTAGTTGCAAAATGCCAGGTTGTTAGTGCAAAGCCATCAGTCACTCTACATGAGAAAAATGAAGCTGTTTGTTGACATAAAGACTTAAGGACTCAGAAGACTCCTGGTGCAGTACTATATAATAAACACTGGCCTGTGAACCAAAAGGTTAGTAGTTCAAACCCACCAGCTGCTCCTTGGGCTGCTATGAATCAGAACCTACTAGATAGCACCAAAGAACAACAACACATGATTTATATGCTAAAATTTCTCAACTCAACTAAATCTGTTAGTATGATCTTTTTTTGTGTGATTTGGGGCTGAGAGAGGCTCTTAGAAGCAAACAGCATGTGATGCAGATTTTGCCATTCCCAAAAGAGAACAAGATATGTCATGACAATAATAAGAAAGGTAATAAGAAATTCAACAAAAGAAAAACAAACAAAAAACAAGAAGGATTAGGCACTAGGCACATTCAGCTTGTAATAAAGGCATTTCATTGAATCCTACTGTCTATACATGTAACAATATCGACAAGAATGAGAATGTTTTTACACCGTGTTGTAGTTCTGTATTTAGACAAGCATGGTGCAGTGTTGTTACCTTAGGTGACTTATGTAACTGACCATATTTGTTCAGATAAGGATCGTAGAGTAGGACTGACAGAGATATGAAAAAATAACAAAAATGGTCAGTCTATATGTTCCTTTCATAAACATACTACAGCCTGTTTAGTAATCTTGTGAGACATGCAATAAATAAAGAAGAATGAGACATGATTCATTATAACTGAATGAAAATAAGTTTATTAAATCATACATACCATAATCTGTAGAATCAATATGGTTGTAAATGTTCCCTCATGAGAAACATCGATAATAATTTGAGATACTTGAATTTCTTTATATTACCACAGCGTCTAATTATAATATGTTTCTCCTCTGGATTTTAATGAAAGCTTTCCTCAGGGCTACTTTCACATCCTTGTTCCTCAAACTGTAGATCAGAGGGTTAAGCATGGGACCCACATTAGTATAGAAAATAGATGAAACTTTCCCTTGGTCCATAGATGCAGGAGAAGAATATTTAAGATACATAAATGCTGCTGACCCAAAAAAAATTAAAATAACAATGATATGAGAGCTACAGGTGCTGAAGGCTTTTGCTCTTCCTTGAGTAGATTTGATATGAAGAACGCTGATAAAAATGAAAATATATGAAATTAGGATGGTAAAACTGGGTACTGTAACATTGATACCCACCACAATGAAAACTACTACCTCATTGACATAGGTGCTGGTACAAGAGAGATGGAGGAGAGGGCGGATGTCACACAAGTAATGGTTGATGATATTAGCCTTACAGAAAGTTAGTTTAAGCATACAGCCAGTGTGGGCAGTGGCTCCAACAAACCCCATTACATATGCAACAATTGTCAGCATAGAACAGACCTGATGGGACATGGTGACTTTATACAACAATGGATTGCAAATGGCCACATAGCGATCATATGCCATGGAGGTCAATATATAGCATTCAGAGATGACAAAGAAGAGAAAGAAAAACAGTTGAGTCATGCACCCAACATAGGAGATGATATTCTTCTCTGATATAAAGTTTATTAGCATTTTAGGGGTGAAAACAGAAGAGTAACAGAGATCTATGAAGGACAAATTGAAGAGGAAATAGTACATGGGGGTGTGAAGGTGATGATTTAGCCCTATAAGTATGACCAAGCCAATATTTCCCACCATGGTGACTATGTAAATCATAAGGAACAAGTAAAAGAGAGGTTGCTGGAGCTCTGGACGATCTGTTAGTCCAGCAAGAATAAATTCAGTCACTACAGAGTCATTTCCAGCTAGTATTTTCATATTTGGAAATCTGTAAGGACATAAAATAATTTCATTAATAAAGAACCCAGCTCTCACCATAAAAATTGTTCCTCACACATTCCAAATTGTTCCACATTGGCAGAACTCAAATGAGTCTGTCTTTGCTTTGTGGATTCTGAATTTACTGCCAAACTTATCCCACGGAAATCCAAATACTCCAACTTTTTGTCTGCAGGAGCTAATTTGTGAAGAAGATAGATGAGTCTATCTGTTTATGCACATGTGGAGTGGGAACATCTCTTCCATCTGTCCATCTCTTTCATCTTCTCAGACATCAGATGATCTTGGCTGAAAGCAGAGAATACAAGAAGGGTGTTCACATCTGCTTTATTGACTATGCAAAGGCTGCTGATTGTGTGGATCAACTGTATTCCAGAACACATAACTGTACTCATGAGGAACCTGTACTTTGATTAAAAAGCAGTTGTGCTAACAGAACAAGGGGACATTGACTAGTTTAAATTAGAATAATGTGTGCCAAGGTTATATTATTTCACCAAACTTAGTCAATCTGTTTGCTGAGTAATTAATCTGAAAAGTTGGATTGTATGAAGAAAAATGTGGCCTCAGGATTGGAGGAAGGAAGATTCACTAACAACCTATGATATGCAGATGAAACAACCTTGTTTACTGAAAGCACAGAGGACTTAAAATGCTTACTGATGAAGATAAACGGTTTCAGCCTTCAGTATGGGTTGCACCTCAATGTAAAGAAAATGAGAATCCTCACCATTGGACCAATAAATACCACTCATATAAATGAAGAAAAGATTGAAGATAACGTAGACTTCATTTTACTCTGATCAGCCATCAACACTCGTGGAAGTAGCAGTCAAGAAACCAAGAACTCAAATTTGCATTAGGCAAACCTGCTGCACAAGACCTCTTTAAAGTGTTCCAGAGCAAAGACATCAGTTTGAGGATAAGGTGTGCCTGACCCAATCCAAGCTGTTTCCAATAACATCATGAGCATAAGAAAGTGGTTCATTGAGTGAAAAAGATGATAAGAATTGATGCATTCGAGTTATGGTGTTGGAAGAGAATATTAAAAGTACCACAGATTTGGGGAGGCAATACACAAGAAGGGGGAGGGAGCTAGGGGAACAAGAGACAGGTTTGCACGGGCTAAATGGGACTGAGGTGGATAGTGATGTGTGCTCAGCCTTGGAACAGCAGGGCTCTGTGATGCAGGGATCCAGGCATAGTCTGAAAAGGGGTAATGATGCTAGGATGCTTGACTGTCTTGTGAATGTTGGTTTCCCTTGCCTACTAGTGTTAAGTACACACTTGAGTGGTATAAAAAGGAATGTTGGGGAACATGACTTCAGAAAACGTGTAAGCCCGTCTTCAAACTATAACTGATTGCAATACCTCAAAGGGGCTCTAGAACTCCAGTGAAATAGATCTCTTGCAGAACCTTTGCAGCATATAGGACCTTAGGTGGGATCCTGAGCCACATCAAGGACATTCTGAGGTAGGGCATTCACACTAGAAAGGACAAGCAGACCAGCCTGGAACAAATGTAGCTAGAGTGACAGAAGATACATCTTCAAAGAAATATCAGCAGGAAAAACCCAAAATAAAAATGGCAGTATGATTGACTACTACAAGAAAAAGCAAGTTGTTTGCCAGGAAGCCATCAAGGGAAGCAATTAAGTTCCTTCAGGACAAACACCCCTCCAAGACTGAAACTCAAAGGGAACACATAAGCAGGCGTGTTAGCTTGCTGGTGACCACATGGGTCTACTGGTGAGCAGAAGAGGGGAAAAGGCAGCAATGAAGAAATGGGCTGAGTTCAACCACAGTTCATAGACTCCCATTGACCTGGAGATATGAGAGAGAAGAAGAAGTGTTGGTTGGTCCAAAGTGTGGTGAGACCTGGGGACAACTGAGCACATGGACAAGGACATAGCCACGGAGGGCTAGAACTGACAGTGAAGCATCCAGCTGATATGAAGTGAGGGGAGATGCACAAGAACATCCATACTTGCAGATAGTACCCATTTGACCTAGCCTCTATGGCTTGATAAACCGAACTCGACTACAGGAAGATAAATAATAATAATAATAATAATAATTTTTGATATAGGAAACAAGGGTAAATTGCTATGATTTGATAAATTTGACCTATACTCATGGATGTAGTAGCTCAAAATACCAACAGAGAGAGAAGGAGTCGTCACATCAAGTATCAATGCTATACCCTCTGTATACAAGGTACATAAGGACAGGCAACTAGGACATTGGCTACTTAAAATGAGGGGGTGACAAAGGCACAAAGTGACTGGCTTAGAAGTTTTCAAGAGGGAGTATAGTTTAAAAATGTGTGGGGAAAGATAGAGTCCCCAGTGAATCGTTCTCATCATGTCTAGATTAATCTGGTAAAAAGAGATGGGGATAAGATGCTAACGATTCAATAGTGAGTAATTGTTATGACTAATTGCAACTGTCACAATTGGAAAGGTAGATGTTTTGTAACAAAAACAGGGGAGTAGTTAATCTTACAGTCCAGAAACTGAGGACCCTAGGTCCATAAAGGGAAAAGAGCACAAGCAGAATGTGTGACCTTATCCAGAGAAGCAGCAACACCAGAAATGGAGGCAGAGATGGGGACATGGAGAGAAGGAGCGGCTGAGGGCTCTAAATTCACGAAATTAGAGGGATTGAGAGCTGGCAGCCAGGAGGCAGTCTTGCAGAATGTGCCCTTTGGTGGTTAAAATAATTATTTATGCCTGAGTGTTTTTTAAAAAATAGGCTAAAATGAATAGAGAGAAATACTGCTAGTTGATGGGGCATGGAGGGGATTATAATAATTGTAATGAAACAAAGTATACAATTTGTTTAATGTAAAACTGATGATCTGCCCTGTAAACTTTGACTCAATTTACAATAAAAACTTAAAAAAAAAAAAAGTACCAAGGACTGCCAAAAGAACAAACAAATCTGTGTTAGAAGAAGTACAGCCAAGAGTGCTCCTTAAAAGCCATGCTGACAAGAGTTTCTCTCTCATATTTCAGATATATTTTTGTGAGGGACCAGTTCTTAGTGAAAACTATCATGTTAAGTAAAATGGTGGTTCAGAGAAAAAGAGAAAGACTCCCAATGAGGTGTATTGACACAATGTCAGCTTTAATGGGCTCAAACATAGAAATGACTGTAAGGTTGACACAGGATGGAGCAGTGTCCTGCTGTGTTGTGCACAGGGTCACTATGAGTCAGTACAGAGTTGACAACACCCAACAACAACAGCAACACCCATGTTTCGATTACTTTACAACACCTCAGTTCCTCTGTAATGACCGTCATTAAAGGTATAACTTCAATAAGGAAGAGATCACACAGACATTCCTCTTTCAGAAGGGAGTCCTTCACTGTCTATAGGATATTCAGATATCCTTGAAGTCATTGATGGATGTCAGGGTTTCAGGAAACCCTTAGTAGCCTCATATTTATCATCACGGTTTCTATACACTTTCTTTGTTCCATCCAAGCTGGACAGACAATGAAGAAAGGAAAGTGGTTGTACTTTCCCAGGTTTCTGTATGAAAACATGAAAGGGAAAGATAATCTGGGTACTAGTTATATAAACGGCCAAATTTGTTAAAATTAAATAAGTTTATCTTATAGTAACTCTTGTATATATAAATAGGAGTCCTGGTGTGGCGCACCAGACTGCAAAGCTGTTTGAACTGCAAGATCGGTGATTCAAGCTCACCAGCTTCTCCTCAGAAACTCTATACAGGGTTGCTATGGATCAGAATCGACTCAATGGCACTTAATAGCAACAACAACAATATATAAATAAGGATTCCTGTTGTGGATAATGCACTGGACCACAAGTTCAGTTTAAACTGTAAGGTCAGTAGCTCAAACCCAGCAACCGCTCCTTGGTAGGGTCGTTATGAGTCAGAAGTGACTAGACTTAACAACAACAACATATATAAATTGTATTTCAGTAAATAAATTTAGGAAAGAAGAAAAGCAGTTCTTGCTCTGATGTTATTTTGTGGTAGCGGTGCCATTTGGCACTCTCACTGATGTCTTACTACCATTGTTAAAGTAGAGTCAACACAGAGAGAATAAAGTGAGAATACAGCAGAAAATGAGTCAGAGCGACATGACTATGAGTGTCTTTATAAACGACATAGTTCCTCTTTTTACAGTAACATAGACAGTAAGAGCAAGAAAAACTTGATTAACTCACCCTTCCTCCACTGAAGGACATTAGTGCCGACTCATTATTTGTGTGAGACCTCCGCAGCACGAACAGAAGAATTAGCTTTGGAGATATCAGAGTTGAACAGAAGTAGCAATAAAATTTTTTCTCTTCACTAGTAAGAGGATCCAAGCACAGATCTCACCACCAGAATATTCCAGGAACCATTGTCAGATGTAAAACAAAGATTTAGTTATGACTTTGACAAGATGGTGTGTGTAGGGCAACTACAGACTTGCCACCAAAGCAACCATGTCATAGAGCATATGTCATTTACCTAGGATTTATAATTACTTTCGCATGATTAGAGACCCAGTCACAGGTTTCCCAGTGGACTTCACCCTCATGAAACATTCTGTAGGGAAGAAATTATGGTGTTTACACCATAAATTGTGATAATAAATGTTAACTTTCCACAGGGACTATGCAAACTTCAGGGCATAAGATAAAGGAGCTTCTGCTGTAATCAATAAGATAGAAATATAATTAATGCAATTGAAATTTTCATACAGATAACAAAGGCACTTTTAGAAAGCATTGATGTATATTTCAGTAAAAATATTTAATAATGTACATTTCTTAATATTTTCAGGCCTTTTAAACAATGAAAGTTAAATTATGCATATTTATAATCATAAAGCAATAGATTACTTTTTAATTGATTAAAGCAGTTGTCATTATTAAAAAGTGGTTTTATAGAAAAATTCTCCCTATGTTTCATGAAAATTAAAATATTTTTTGTTGGTCTGAATTAGTAGGTCTTCATTTTTGAC